CCATGAGCCATCTCCCCAGCCCTGTTTATATTTTATTTTGAGACAGGGTCTTGCTAAGCTGCTAAGGCTGGCCTCCAACTTGGGATCCCCCTGCCTTAGCATCCAGAGCCACTGGGATTAGAGATGTAGCTCTTGAGCTTGGTCTCAGTGTAGTTTTGATTTGCATCTCCCTGATTGCTAGAGATATTGAACTTTCTTTTCCATATAATTGTTGGCCATTGTACTTCTCCTTTTGAGAATTGTCTGTAGAGGTCATTTGCCCATTAATTGGTTGGGTTATTTTTGTTTTTGTTGTTGTTTGTTTGTTTTTGTTTTCGGTGTTGTGATTTTAGAATTCTTTATGTATGCTGGAGGTTAATTCTTTCTTGGAAAAGTCACTGGCTAACATTTTCTCCCATTCTGTAGGTTTTATCTTCATCCTAACGTTTCCTTTGTTGTGCAGAAGCTTTTTAATTTGATGCCGTCCCATTGATTCTGTCCTGAGCTATAGGAGCGTAATGCCAGATTTGAGGGACCCCAATAGACCTCCAGGAGCCGAATCGGATGCAATCACACAAAAGTCTTTATTGCAAGCTTGAGCCTGGACTCATAACCGTTTCCGACGGTGGTCCCAGGGAATGAGTCCCGGTCCTTTGTTCAGTGAGATTTTATAGGTTTTGGGGGGATACTCTATGCGTCACAACATCACACAGCAAATCATTCCATACTGCTGGAAAATCAAACAACAACTCTTAACATTGATTAGCACATTCACTGGCGGAAACAAGTTGGGTAGGGGTGATTGGTTAGTACAAGAGGGGGATTTCTTTGAACTGATCGGTTTGGGCCACGAGGGGTGTTCCTGCTAAACTACATGGTTTCCCAACATCTTATCAACCACCATAAACTATTGGAGGGTCATCTGGCATCCCAGGTATTTCCCTGTCTCATGCTGATTGGTGGTTGCTCTATGGGTCCTCACCTAGCCAGACTGAGTCAGGGACACCTGGCGCCGCAGACCTCTCCTGATATTTGTAGATAAACAACTCAGCAGGGTGGGTATGTGACTAGGAGTGCTCTGTGGGTTTTTCCAAGGACGGTCACGCTCCCTTCCTTAGGACAGGCTTTGCTCTGAGGTAGAGGCTGGCTTCTCAATAATGGAGTCACATCAGTTTCTCAGGAGTCCTGTTGAGGAAGCCCTGGCCTGCCCCGACCCATTGGAAGGTTTTTCCCCTGTTTAATTCTATCAGTTGCAAAGTTCCTGATCTTATTCTTAGGTCTTTGATCCATTTCGAGTTGACCTGTTTTTCAGGGTAAAAGATGAGGACCTAGTTTTATTCTTCTCTCTATGGCTATCAGTCTACCCTGCACCATTTGTTAAAAAGACTGACCAAAGTAC